GCGCTCACCCAGACATCGCGCTAGCGAAGATATCTGGCACGCACGAATGGAACACCCAAGCAACACAACGTTAAATAACACTATAAGAGCCGGAGCACTCGACAAAGACTCACTGCTTCTACACGACGGGAGAGAACTTCAACGAGTTCGAGGAACGTGCTTCACCTGCCCTGAAGCTGACTTACCGCATCAGCCGTTCGTCTCTCACCACAATCCGAGTGCACCAGCATACGACCACTGGAGAAAGTGTACAGCGGCATACTGTACAACCGCGAACCTGGACAAGGAGCGTATAACTACACCATCACGTTCATCGACGCCGCCACACGATACGTCTGGCACCTCAACCTCCCGAGTTAGGACATGGCCTTTGAAGCCTTTGTCGCCTGGCTTTCAGTAGCAGAACGGGAATCAGGAGTGAAGCTGAAAAGCTTCCAGTCAGACGGGGGAGGAGAATACCAGTCACAACGCTTCAAGCAGTATTTGGCAGAGAGAGGAATCAAGAGACTCATCTCTCTCCCCTACGCCCATCAACAGCAAGGCGTAGCAGAAAGGATGAACAGGACACTCCAGACCACCATGCGCAAACTGCTACGTGGCATGCTGCTACCCAACCACCAGTGGCCCGAAGCAATGGACCATGCTGTGATGCTGCACAACTTGCTTTCGTCGTCATCACTCCCGAACAACGCCTCACCGCATCTGCTGTGGACAGGGAAATTGGGCAACACAAAAATGTTACGAGTTTTTGGCTGCATGGTACAGTACCGACCACACACTGCACTAGCCGAAAGATTTTCGAAACGTGCACAGTGGGGACTACACCTGGGCATCGAAAAACATTACAACGCGTGGAAGATATTTGATGTCCACTCGAAAGAAACAGTGGCAGCACGTGACGTTATCTTCTACGAGCGACTCACCCTCCACACGTACCTGGCCAACTTGCGCGAACCAAGACCCCACAGACGGATTTTGTTGCAACCGAGCATTCGCCTCGGCAGCAGACGAAGCTGACTGGGACGAACAAAACGTGGACGGAGCATCGGAGGAAGCCGGACCTCTTCCCTACTGTTCGGTCGACGTCCCAATTGACGACGAAAACCCTCGCAAAAGTATCAACGCCGAAGTCTACTACGATCTCGCCAACAATGGTTACGTTACACCCGCGCAAGTCAACACCGACGAAGCAGAACGCATAGGACCCAACTTCGTACCTGATCCAGAAGCAGGAGACGAAGCCGTCTATCCCGAGGACGTCAATCTTCCCCGCTACACACAGAGCGGGCTGCAGATACTTGGACTTGTCACCGCGGTCCACGGAGCAGCGCCACCTAAGGAGCCTGCCACAGTTCAGCAGGCTCTGGGGGGGGGAGCACAGGGAAAAATGGCGCGAAGCCATGGACAGAGAATTAAAAGCGCTGGAAGAACGCAACACCTGGAAAATCGTTCCCATCGGAGTGGCACGCAACAAGACAGTTCTCACCGGAAATGGGTTTTCCGTGTGAAAACCAAAGCAGACGGAACCATCGATAAGTTTAAAGCACGCTGGGTCGTACGCGGCTTCGACCAAGAGCACGGACGGGACTTCACCGAAACCTTTGTGCCGGTCAGCCCACACACCTCATTGCGGATTCTCCTCGCGATAGCCGCCATGAAGCGGAAGAAAAAGTTTCGCCAAATCGACGTCGCCAACGCCTTTCTCTACGCGCCCGTCGATGCTGAGATCTTCGTCGAACAGCCACACGGCTCCGACGCAAACCCCAACCAAGTGTGTCAGCTACTGAAATCCCTGTACGGCATCAAACAGGCCCCGAGACTGTGGCAGCAGTACCTACATGCCCGGCTAATCCGCATCGGATTCCGGCAACTACCGCACGATCAAGGGATGTATCGCCTCACGAAAGGCACCAACTACATTCTGCTCATTGTCTACGTGGATGATCTACTTTACATCGGCTCGACCGACGGCGTCACAACCTGGCTTGAAGGGGAGCTGCAGCGGGGCCTAACGCTTACCGTCTCATCTACCGTCACACAGTACCTCGGCCTCAACATTCAGGAAGAAGAAAACGCGATCCATCTCAGCGCCGCAAAGTATGCCGACACCATCGCCAAGCGCTTCGGATTAACTCCAGCCATCATCACCACACCGTATCGCTACACCGACGGAAAACGCAAGGAAACCTCCGCGTCACTCAAGCCCGCAGGCATACGCGACTATCAGCGAAAGCTAGGGTGTCTGCTCTTCGCAACTCACCACCTACCTCAAGAAACCTAAAACAGAGCACATGGCGGAGCTCGACCGCGCACTCCACTACCTCGTCAGCACCCCGACAATCGGCCTGACCTACCACAAGACCGGAACTACGACACCTAAGTTAATCGGCTACGTGGATGCTGACCACGCCGGCGACTCCGATAACAGGCGCTCACGCACCGGCTACATCTATCGACTCGAGCCTATCGCGCCTATCTCGTGGCAGTCGAGCAAACAGGAATTAATCGCTCTCTCCTCAGCTGAAGCAGAATATATTGCACTCTGCTCAGCCACCAAGGAAGGCCTGTACCTTCGCGAACTACTGGAAGAAGCGAAGCTGGCTCAGTTACCCAGCTTCTCCCTATTCTGCGACAACCAGTCAGCAATTCGCATAGCAAACAAGAACGGGTTCGCGAACCGGACGAAGCATATCGCCCTGCGATATTTCTTCGTAAAAGACGAGATCGAGAAGGGGAGACTCGAACTGTCATACTGCCCCACGTCCGAGATGACAGCCAACTACTTGACCAAGAAACTTGGAAAGCAGAAGTTCGAGTACTGCATGCTGCTGACTGGACAAGGCCACGTCACCAGCAACGACACTCCAGAAGCGAAGGGGAGTGTTGGAAACAAATGATTTAACGCTTCTTGTGTGTCGCAACATCGAACTGTAAACGAGGCGAACTACAGCGCAGCAACAGCGAGTCAACCGAGGAGGTTGACAGAAAAGTAACAGCCGGAGGTTACGCGAAGGTCAAAGGTCAGCGACCTTTGACTCGACAAATACAGCGCGACAGCAAGGACAAACAACTGCCGTATTTACCCGGGTATACGACCCTAGGGTCTAATCCTACCCCGGGAAAAAAAGGGGGGTGGGGCTATTAAGTGGGTGTAAATTTAATAGACCCTGGGTACAATCCTACATGTTTATATTTCGAAGTCATGTCAAATACCTGCAGTGTACAAAACCAAATGCAATCACTTTGATAATGCGTCAGCGAAATTCTGACCACGCGCCTGACGCGGGACTGACGCGAGACTGACGCGCGGTGAATCTGCTCCAATCAGCAAACTTTCGCGCTTCCTTGACCAAGCACCTCACTACAGTCTGATCCGAATTCAGGCAGTCTACAGTCAAGAGGGGTCTAATCCGGATGACGTCTCTGAAAGGGGGGTCTGTTACGAAATTGCATATAGCATTAGACCCCCCCAATTTAACGACCCGGGGGTCTATAATTTTGGCGGGTCCATTACCCGGGTAAATACGGTGACTCGATATTGAGCAGTTGCCCGAGTCGTCACTGTATCGAACCGCAACAGCAGCAGTTACAATTGCAGTTACAAATAAGAAGTTAGTCAAACCTTTCGTATTCTCCTGTAATCTTATCAAAGCTTGCACTTCCTTTCTATAATCAATCTATCTTGCCCTCACATACTAGCGCAAGGTGGTTCAACACTTATCATTAAAACGCTTCCGCAATTACAACATCTCTATCAGGAGTTCTAGCCTTGAAAGATCCTAAGGGCTTTTCTCAGCCCAACACAAACTACTTTCCAACGTTCTCTCTTGTTCGCTGTATAAACCTCTCTTGTACTTGCCAATATCAACCATTTCTCAACCAATTCTCATTCAACTCTTCTTCAATTACTCAGTAACTCCTTCGCCTATTTCGCTAGTAGTTCTTTCGCCAAAGTCTTCCGCCGCGCTTCATCCTCGACTTAGTCGACCCCGCTAATTCTTTAGCGGACTTAGGCCAGCGGGCCTGACAATTCATTACACAACTCGTAAGAATCAATGTTACACCCCGCCACCTCTCATACAGTCTAGCCACGCAGTTACGACCGAGCTCGCTGAATAGGGCCTTGTCTGTTCTTCATGTGAGGCCTCACCGCGAAATAAAACGGCGCCCCATCTCGCCTCCATTCGAGGATGCGCCTCGCCTCCCGTCGCAGACTTGCCTCGCCTCATCGCGCGATCGCCAACCGCCTCCGCTCGCGGCCGCGCTTTAGCCCTCTGCTGCCGCCGTTTCTTCCCCTAGCCACCGCAGCTAGTTCTGCTGCCGCTCACGCCGCACCTACTCGCTGCTTCCCTTCCCTCGCACCTCGCTGCTTCCCGTCCTCGCCGTTCGCCATTCGCCGCCCGCCGTGAGTCGCTGCTTGCCGCCGCCGTCCGCCGCGATCCGCAGCCCGACGCTCGCTGTCGCGAGAAGAGCCACCATAGCGCGATCGTCGCTCGTCGCGCGCCCCATCGCGGGCTCGCCTTTCCTCGCGGATTCCTCTGCTCCTGATGCCGCCGTCACCGCCGCCAGGCGACGATCTATTCGGGCCCGACAACGACGAGTACGCGCACACAACGCCCTTCAGCGCCATCACACCTGCGGACATCCCCTCCCCCCCTCCTCCCGATTATTCCGCACATGATCGCGGAAACCAGGGGGGAGCATACGGGGGTGCAGGGGGGGGCTTCGGCAGGCGGGGGAGAGGCGGGCGCGGGAGGTGGGGCAGAGGCGGAAGCGAGTGGGAGGATCGCGGGCAGGGGTACGGCGGGAGGGGGCGGCACTGGGCTGGCGGAGGGGACTACGGCGGCGGAAGAGGCGGCGGACATGGGGGAGGCGGGCGGTGGGGAGGCGGCGGAGGGGGGAGAGGCTGGGGAGACGACTTAGGCCGGGGGGCTGGCCTGGGCGGACCTAGAGGCGGGGGGCATAGGGGAGGGCGCGGGGGCGGAAGGTTCGGGAGGGGAATGGGGGCAATGGGGGGCGCGCACATGGGGGGGCCGCGGCAGCACGTGGGTCCGGCGTTCCAGGTGGTGGCGTGCAGCCTGCCCCACGTGGTGTCGGTGGCGGTGCTGGGCGCGTGTGGGCACCACGACGCGGCACTCAAGGCGGCGAAGCTGCCCGCCCTGCAGAAGCCCACGGCGCTGTGGGGCTTCAGCCGCCTGGCGGACGGCTCCGTGTGGAGCGACGAGCGCTGCCTGCGCCGCCTGCGCCCCGCCATTCTGGGCAAGGAGGGGCCGGGCGGGTGGGCAGCGGTGGACCTCAACGAGGGCTTCGAGGGGTTTGTGGCGAAGCGGGACGGTGGAGAGGCGCACGAGGGAGGCAGAGGAAAGGGGGAGGAGGGCGACACGGGTGGTGATGGGGTTGGCAGTGCTGGCGGCAGTGGCGGTGGCGGAGGTGGTGGTGAGGGCGAGAGTGGGTTTGCGGATGTGCTGCGCGGCATGCGATGGGTGCTGAAGAAGCAGGTGGCAGCACTGCAGCCCGGCATGGCGCCGGACCGCCTGCACTTTGTGACGTTCCGCCACAACCTGAACAAGCTCATGGGCGTCTGCTACAACCGCCACGACGCGTGGCAGATGGGCGTGCACAAGCGCCTGGGGTCCGTGTACCTGCACGTGCACAGAGCGCCGGGCGACCAGCAGCACAAGTCAGAGCAACACCGGCGGTTTGAGTTCTACGGGTACGCGTTCGAGCGCGCTGCAACGGAGCCAAGGAAAACTGGCACAGGGGAAGGTGGAGGAGGAGGTGGAGGGGAGGAGAGTACGGTGATAGATGCTAACGAGGAGTTCTGTGCGGTGATGAAGACGAAGCTGGGAGCGCACCGCGTGCTGATGGGGGCGGAGATGGACTGCTACGAGTGGGTGAACGTGCCGCAGGCCGGCAACGCGCCGCCCAGGCCCGAGCGGATCTTCGTGGAGCTCAAGACGAGCGTGCTGCCGGAGAGCGACGGGCAGCGCGAGCGGTTTGAGCGCGACAAGCTGCTGCGGTGGTGGATCCAGTCGTTCGTGGCGGGCGTGGGCGCCATCGTCGTTGGATTCCGGGACACGCGGGGGCGCCTGGTGAGGGTGGAGCGGTGGAGCCTGGGGGAGGTGACGAGGCGGGTCAAGGGCAAGGACTACTGGGAGGCGGGGTCGGTGCTGACGTTCACGGACCAGGTGCTGACGTGGCTGTACGGCAGCGCCCAGGAGGGCGGCAACTACGTGCTGCGGTTCGTGCCGGCGCAGAGCCGCCTGGAACTGGCGGCTGCTGACGGCTGCCCCGCGTTCATTGAGCAGCACTGCCAGGAGCTGGCCGCCATGGGCATCACCTGATGATGGCAGGTGGTCGCATGGGCATCACATGATGAACACAGGCCAGCACCCTCACCCACCTACCGTACCTCCACCCACCTACCTCCACCCACCTGGTTCAAAGGACAAATGTGGACTGCCGTTTTAAGGCTGTTTGGTTTCCACCATTAGCTTGTAGTAAGTGTAACATATTTTTTTTCCAGCCTAAAATCAGTCTACCGTAATCACCCGGATATAAGACCCTAGGGTCTTATGAAAACTACGGGAAAAAATGGTGGGGGGTCTTCTCATATTGTCATAGTAATATAAGACCCGGGTCTTTACAAATGAACATGTTTTTTTCACTTGTATTTGAATGCAAAGCTCATGTTGGTGTTTGATTCGTTTTTAGATTTCGGAAAGGTACGTCGAGGATGTTTTTGTGACGACTGTTTGTGAATGTGAAATCCAGATATTGCTCTCTGATTGGACAACCACATAGCCAATCAAGTCAAATGAATCTTGAAGAAAGACCAGGCCTCTCGTTATCAGGGTAAAATACCCTTTTTGCACTGACTGGCGGCCGCTTTTTTTCAGTTACCCTTTCACAGGCAGGGTATTGGGATTTTTTTCCCCTTTGAAAAACAGTGTGATGGAACTTTTCCCCTGAGTGTTCAGGGTGCGATTTCAGTATGCTGATACTGAGTTTCTCGCAACCGAGGATTTCCGACTATGAACACGTTGCGAAAAGGACAGCAGGACCAACACCCACATAAGACGACCTCAACCACAGGTGCAGTCCCGAGGAATTTCCTCGCGACGTGCCGCGAAACCACCACATTGGTGGACGAGGCAGCCATGCTGCCAGCACAACATGAATTCATCGCCACAGCAGCATTTCACAGCTGCCAGCCTTGTCCACAAGCGCGCCGACAGCACAGCGGTGCAGGAAGCAGCTGTTTCGTGCTGTACAGGGCACGTCATGGCAGCCAAGAGGAAGCACCGTGAGCCACGCATGAGACGCGCTCCGGCCTCTTTCAAGCCATCACAGGTCTGGTGGGGCATTGTGTGCTCCCAAGGACACCCCATCTTGTTCCTCCTGCTCATTCTCATCGTGAGGGTAACACCAGCGAGGTTCCAGCCCATGCCTCAGTCATGCCTGCCGAGCATTCTCAAGATCCGCCTGCTGTAGAGCGCAATGGCCTATCTGTGCTCGGAGTTCTTCCCCGCCTGGCAGACTCCTACAGCGTGCCGATTTCACCGTTGCCACGTCCCGCTTCTCAAGTGCACACTGTAGGCACCGTGTACCCATTCGAACCTCCATCCACGTCGTCTGACTTCGAGCCGCCCCCGTCAATCGTTCTTGTGCCTGGCGGTGGGGAAGGGTCGTCCAGGCCACCGGCGGATTCACCGTCTACCGTGAACAGCACGCCGGTCAAACGCCCGCGGGTCGCTGTGAAGTACAAGCAGCAGCGCCTTTGGGGAGCTCCTCCTCCTCGGAAGGCAGCCTCCCCGCAACGTGATGCTGATCCTGAGGATGCCGCGCCGCCAAAAACTACTGGTGATGTTATGTACGACACGAATAAGCACCGCTATGAGTCTGAGTGGCGTGGTAAAATCAAGTGGTTGCGTCTGATTCGGTTGCCTAACGGTGTTGCGAAATTGAAGTGCGACATCTGCGTGCAGCATGGAGACCCCACCGCTCACACAAGCTACGGTGCGAAGGGCGAGGGTGGGCGCGACCTCCAGATCGGTAGCGTCCGGGCCCATTCCGCGACGAGAGCCCACAAGAACGCCTTGAATGCCCAAGCAGAAGCGGAAGCGGACAAGGCGAAACAAGCGAGCATCACCCGCTGGCAGGCAACCGACGCGTCGACGAGGCACATCATTCGCGTTCTGCACATCGCTCTCTTCGTCTGCAAGGCGGATGCGCCAATCGCGATGTTCATCCCGCTCTGTTGGTTCTTGGCGAAGGAAGGCCTTCCCGACCTCCCCAATAGTGGCGGCTATGGCGCCTACTACACAGAATAAGCCCTTGTTAGTTTCTATTATACCTCTCGATGTGCCCAAGATTTGTTCTAAACGTTGTGTGTTGACCTTGTGGCCTGCAGATACGGCTTCAGAGAGAACCTGCGAGCAATCTCGGCTTACCTCTTGGAAGTTCAGCGGTTGCATCTACTGGAGTCACCCTGGATTGGTCTAGCCCTCGACGAAAGTAGTGATCGCGTCAACGGGAAACACCTCATCCTCTACGCGACTTTTTTCCGTGGGACCGTGGTGGTGAACGAGTTTTTGACTTTGATCACAGTTGACCGTGCTGACGCCGCGTCATTGACTTCTGCTGTGGTGCAGTACTTGACAGGTATAGGAGTCGACCTTCAGAAGGTATCGTCCGTGTCAACTGACGGTGCGAATGTCATGATGGGGAAGCATAATGGTGTTGTCGCCCGGCTGCGCATACGGATTCCGCATCTTGCATCAACACACTGCGTCGCACATCGGTAGGTCCTTACCTCACATGAATTCAGTGTTGTTCGTTTATGTTATATACCAACGTTCTCACGCTGCTTCCTTGTTGACATTCTCAGAGAGGCTTTAGCTGCAAAAAACGCGGCGGAAGCAGTACCCGAGCTCTTCATGGTGGACAACGTGGTCCGTGGCTTCGCTGACCTCATCGGTCGTTCGAACGTCAAGTATGACAAGTTCCACAACATCCAGCAGGTGTTCTGCAAAACCAACCTCGAGGCTCAAGGCATTCACGAGGTGCGGTGGCTGTCATGCGGAGAGGCTGTTAGACGCCTCCTCGAAATCCTTCCTGCAGTCATGGTGGTGCTAAAGGAGTACAACGCCGATCTGTACGAGATTGCGACGTCATTCAAATTCCAGTGGCTGCTTCGCCTGCTTGCAGACGTGCTTTGGGAGCTGAACTTCCTGAACCAGCGGTTCCAGCAAAGGAAGGTATGGTTGGCACATACCCGTTGTGTCGTGGCTCTGTCCCAATGTGTTTCGATTACACATGTCGCTAACACCTTCCATTGTTTTAACTCTGCAGATCGACATCACTCTGGTGGCGCACCTGGTGCAGCAGACACGCTGGCGCCTGAAGAACCGTTATTTCAACGGTTCCCCCACTCATCACTTCGGCAGCGGGGAAAAGATGACTCTCAACGAGTTCATTCAGCGCCACCAGAAGATGGACAAGCAGCAGGTGAAGGCCAAGGGCGTGGACAGTGATGGCAACCCCGTGACCTTTGAGTACGAGCTGCACGAGAGGAAAATCAAAGGGCATGAGACGGACGGTGATGTTACCGCGTGCTACGAGCTGTCGTTGAAGTTTGTGCGTGAAATCGACAAGGAGCTGGAGTGGCGCATGAGGGACCTGGAGCATCTGGAGGGGTCGAAGCTGTTTCGCTCAGCATCATACGTCACAGACGATGCAAAGCGGGTGGAGAACTTCAAGAAGTGGCTGGCTCAACTGCACAAACGGTTCAACGGCAAACTGCCAGGTAAGCATGTCTTTGGTTTGCTTGAGTACCTGATTCGTGAATACCTGCTTGCATACGACTTGCTGTGTCGTGACGTTGTGCACACATGTCTGCGCTCTGTTGATTGTTTGGTTTAAGAACCCCCCTCCCTCCCGCCTTCTGCAAGTATACCCTTTGTAATTCCCTCTCCCGAGCATCAGGATGCGACTTCACCAGAGCACAGAGCGAGCTCGTCCACCATGTTCTCCCAGCACAACGACGAGGACTTCCACCAGGCGCTGGGGAACATGCTTCGGGATGACGCATGGCAGCACTCCTTCCCCAACCTGATGCGGATGTGGCAGGCTGTTGCCGTGCTACCTCTGAGCACGGTGGAGTGCGAGAGGGGCTTCAGCAAGCAGAATCTGATCAAGTCGTGGGAGCGGGGCGCCCTCTCTGACACGACCCTCGAGCATCTGATGAGATGCTCTCTCCTCCAGTACGACGTGGACTGGTACGAGGTTGTGGCGATTTTTAGGGGAGAGAAGCTGCGGCGGTCGACGAAGGACTTCAGTGGCACCATCCCAGGAGAGGCTCTTTTTGCAGCTGGCGCCACTGAGGGATCTGACCCTGTTGATGTTGACTAGGGAATGCCTATCATAGTTATGGTGGTAGTCGGCCTTGTGTAGCTTTAGCGTCATGCAGATTGAACGTGCTAGTTATGTGGACTGCAGTCTTAGTATGTTCAACAATTAGCTGTTGAAAACAGTGTATGTATTTTTTTATACTGACTGACTCAGTGTAGAGGGAAAACTACGCTGCAAAAGACAGGCTAAAAAAAAAATTACCCTAGCCCTCAGGGTGCACTTGGTCTCGTACCCTGATCACCCAGGGTCGGCCAAAACCAATCTGAAGCCCTGACCATGAGAATCGTGTTGGAAACAATGAATCCTAAGCGCCTCTGTCGTGTCGAAACACTATGGCACAAGCGAAGCGAAACACATCGAAACACCGGCGAGTCAACCCTCGGAGGTTGAAAGTAACTGTTGGAGGTTACGCGAAAGTCAAAGGTCAGCAACCTTTGACCTGACAAATACAGCGCGACAGCAAGGACACACAACTGACTCGCTACAGAGCGGTTGCCCGAGTCGTCACTGTATCGAATCGCAACAGCAAACAGTAAAGTAGTTATAACCGTATCTCTTCATATTCCTTGTACTCTTATATAAATGCTTGTATCTCTTTGCTTTAATCAACTTACTTTGCCCTCACATACTAGCGCAAGGTGGTTCACAATTACATCATTAAAGCTTCCGCTATTACATCATCTCTACCCAGAGTTTACCCTTGCAAAAGATCCTAAGGGCTGTCTCAGCCCAACATGGTATGAGAGCTCACAAGGGAAACTCAACTACTATCAAGTCATCACAAGACATGGCAACACAAAAGGAGAGGAGCTCTTCTAACGGCTCCTAGGGTACTACTCCTACTCCACCTCCTGCCTCTGGCCTACAGACAGAGGAAGGCACGGCAACAAGACCAGCAGCGCCTTCAGCAAGTCAACCTGCCAGCTTCGAC